TGACAACACAGGAAATATCCTCCAAACAGAAAATCAACAAAGAAATAACAGACTTAAACAGAACTCTAGAACAAATGAAGCTGACTGACATTTACAGGACATCCTACCCCAAAACCACTTAATATACATTCTTCTCATCAGCTCATGGGTCATTCTCTAAGATTGACCATATCCTAGAACACAAAGCATATCTCAAACAATTTTAAAAAATAGAAATTATGCTATGTATCTTTTCAGACCACAATGGAATAAATGTAGAAATTAATCCTAACAGGAGTTCTCATTTCCACACAAAGTCATGGAAACTAAACAACCTTCTGCTGAATAATCACTTCATAAATGAGGAAATCAAGATGGAAATCAAAAGATTCTTTGAACTAAACAACAAAGGTGACACAAGTTATCAAAACTTGTGGGACACAGCTAATGCAGTCCTGAGAGGAAAGTTTATTTCCATAAATGCCTATATCCAACAGTCAAAAGGATCACAAATAGACAACCTAATGAATCATCTCAAAGAGCTGGAAAAAGAAGAACAGAGTGACCCCAAACCCAGCAGAAGAGATGAAATCATTAAGATCAAATCAGAACTAAATGAAATTGACAACCAGAAAACCATACAGAAGATTAATAAAACAAAAAGTTGGTTCTTTGAAAAATAAACACAATTGACACACCATTGGCTAGACTAATGAAAAGCAGAAAAGAAAATTCTCTAATAAGCTCCATCAGGAACAATAAAGAAGATATTACAACCGATGTCACGGTGATACAAGATATGATTTATGAATACTACCAAAACCTCTATGAACACAAACTGGAAAAGTGGAGGAAATGGACAATTTCTTAGAAACACACAGCTTCCCTAGGCTCAACCAGGAAGAAATAGAATTCCTGAACAGAATAATATCAAGTACTGAAATTGAAACAGCAATAAAAAACCTTCCTAAAAAGAAAAGTCCTGGCCGGGCGCGGTGGCTCACGCCTGTAATCCTAGCACTCTGGGAGGCCGAGGCGGACGGATTGCTCGAGGTCAGGAGTTCGAAATCAGCCTGAGCAAGAGTGAGACCCCGTCTCTACTATAAATAGAAACAAATTAATTGGCCAGCTAATGTATATAGAAAAAATCAGCCGGGCATGGTGGTGCATGCCTGTAGTCCCAGCTGCTCGGGAGGCTGAGGCAGGAGGATCACTTGAGCCCAGGAGTTTGAGGTTGCTGTGAGCTAGGCTGACGCCACGGCACTCACTCTAGCCTGGGCAACAAAGCGAGACTCTGTCTCAAAAAAAAAAAAAAAAAAAAGAAAAGTCCTGATGGTTTCACATCCGAATTTTACCACACCTACAAAGAAGAACTGGTGCCTATCCTGCAGAAATTATCCCACAACATCAAGAAGGATGGAATTCTCCCCAACACATTTTATGAAGCAAACATAACCCTGATACCAAAACCAGGAAAGGATGTAACAAAAAAAGAAAACTACAGACCAATAACCCTTATGAATATAGATGTAAAAATTCTCAACAAAATCCCAGCCAATCGAATCTAGGTGCTTGCCAAGAAAATAATCCAGCACAACCAAGTGGGCTTCATCCTACGAATTCAGGGGTGGTCCCAACATACACAAATCTATAAATGTAATTCACCATATAAACAGAAGCAAAAACAAAAACCATATGATCCTCTTGATAGACACAGAAAAAGCATTCGACAAAATTCAACACCCTTTTATGATAAGAACGCTCAACAAAATAGGCATAGACGGGGCTTACCTAAAAATGATACAAGCCATGTATGACAAACCCACAGCCAATATCATACTGAATGGGGAAAACCTGAAAGCATTCCCACTTAGAACTGGAACCAGGCAAGGTTGCCCACTCTCTCCACTTCTATTCAACATAGTGCAGGAAGTCCTTGCTACAGCAATCAGACAAGAGAGCAGAATTAAGGGCGTCCAAATGGGAGCAGAAGAGATCAAACTCTCACTCTTTGCCGATGACTTGATATTATACTTAGAAAACCCCAAGCATTCAACCAAGAGACTCCTTGAACTGATAAATGAATTTGGTAAAGTATCAGGAATACAAAATCAACACACAGAAATCAGTGGCATTCATATATGCCAACAACAGTCAAAGTGAGAACCAAATCAAAGACTCAATTCCCTTCAAAATAGCAACAAAGAAAATAAAATGCATAGGAATATATTTAACTAAGTTGGTAAAAGACCTCTATAAGGAGAACTATGAAACACTGAAGAAAGAAATAGCAGAGGATGTAAACAAGTGAAAGAATATACCATGCTGATGGGCCAGCAGAATCAACATCGTTAAAATGTCTATACTACCCAAAGTGACCTACAGAGTCAATGCAATCCCTATTAAAATGCCATCATCATTTTTCACAGATATAGAAAAAATAGTTTTATGCTTTTCATGGAACCAGAGAAGACCCCTTAGAGCAAAATCAATCCTAGGCAATGAAAACAAAATAGGAGGTATCAATTTACCAGATTTCAAACTATACTACAAGGCTACAGAGCCCTGGGAATTTCCACTCTACCACACTCCCAGGGTGATAAGGAGCAGGAAAGACCGGGAGGAAAAACAAAAGAGCAAGGGCCACAGCTCTTGGAACTTAGAATGCTGAAGCTATTGGTTCATTATCTATTTGAAAGGTATTGAAAACACCTGACAGCAAACCATTTGCAAAGGGAACTGGTGGGGCAGCATGGGGGATGTGCCTGAATGACTATCGATATAATTTTCTTTCTTTTACCTTGATATACAACTGTTATAGTTTCCCATGGTTGCTCTAACAAAATATCAAAAACTGGATGGCTTAAAACAACAGAAATTTGTTCTCTCACAGTTCTGGAGGCCAGAAGTCCAACATCAGTATCACTGGGCTGAAATCAAGGTGTCATCAGGGCCAAACTCGCTTTCGAGAAGCATCGATTTTTGACTCTTCCAGCTTCAGGTGGCCGCCAGCATTCTTTGGCTCATAGCCACATCACTCCAGTCTCTGCCTTCAACTTCACATTGCCTTTTCCTCTTCTGTTTCAAGTCTCCCTCTGCCTCAGTCTTATAGGGACACTTATGATTGTATTAATGGCCCACCTGGAGAATCCAAAATCATCCCCCCATATTAAGATCCTTACCTTGATCACATCTATTAATAAAAAGATACAACATTTACAGGTTCCAGGGATTAGGACCTGATATATTTGGGCAGCCATTATTCAACCTACTACAACATTTCTACATTTTCCCTTTTTATCCCATTATTACATCATTTGTTATTACAAAAGTAATAAGTATTTGCTATAGAGAAGTAGAATATACAGCTACACAAAAGAAGAAATTTTAAATTTACCCATAATTCTACTTCCCAGCAATAAGCACGATTACTATGTTGGTGTTTATTTTTGTGGTTTTTTTCTCTTGCACATGCATTTATATATAAGTTTTATTGAAACTTAAAAATCCAGCTGATAGGACAGGCCTTGATCTCACTCCAGAGAAACCCACCTCACAAGTTGGGAAACACCGCTGACACCCCCCTAGAAAACTCAGAACATATAAATGTATTTGGGGGGAAAACTTAGATATCCCTCTAAATCAGATAGGTTAATGTCAAAATGCTCTTTTTGAAATAAGAAGTTACATAACATAAACATAAAAAAAAAGTCCTGGGCAGCTTGTGCAGAGTGAAAAGAGAACACAAGAAGGTCATTCCTAAGAAAAGTGCAGAGAGATTTCTCCACTCCTAGAGCTAAGTATAAACTGGCTTCCTGGAGTCTGTGAACACAAATGTCAAATGCATGTGTGCCAGCATTTGGTAGTTTGTGGTTTTCAAGAAATCAGGCAATTTCATACATGTTGTCAAAATCATGGTGTAGATTTGTTCATATTATTCTCTAATTGTCCTTTTAACATCTGCAGTGTCTGTAGTGATATCCTCTTTTTCATTTCTGATAATGAATTGATAATTTTCATCTCTCCTTTTTCTTTGCCAGTTTTGTTAGAAATTTTATTGGTCTTTTCAAAAAATCTAGCTATTAGGCCGGGTGCAGTGGCTCACGCCTGTAACCCTAGCATTCTGGGAGGCCGAGGTGGGCAGACCATTTGAGCTCAGGAGTTCAAGACCAGCCTGAGCAAGAGCGAGACCCCGTCTCTACCAAAAATAGAAAAAATTAGTCAGGCATGGTCGTACATGCCTGTAGTCCCAGCTACTCAGGAGGCTGAGGCAGAAGGATTGCTTGAGCCCAGGAATTTGAGGTTGCTGTGAGTGAGGCTGATGCTATGGCACTCTAGCCAGAGCAACAGAGTGAGACTCTGTCTCAAAAAAAAAAAATCTAGCTATTAGCTTTATTGATATTTTTTCTGTTTATCTGTTTATAATTTTGATATATACCCTTATCTTTATTATTTCCTTCCTTCTTCTTCTGCTGGATTTATTTTTCTCTCCTTACTGTAATTTCTTTCATTCCTTTTCTTTTGCCTTTTTTTAGGGGGGGGTCTCACTATGTTGCCCAGGCTGGTCTTGAACTCCTGGCCTCAAGCAATCCTCGTGCCTCAGTCTCCCACCCAAAGTGCTGGGATTACAGATGTGAGCCTCCACATCCGGCTTCTTATTGTAATTTATTAAGTAGTAAGTACTAAGCCTATATTATTGACATGAGACCTTTCTTCATTCCTAATAAGGCATTCAATGCTATAAATCTCCCTATAAGCATTGTGTTAGCTGCATATTTTGATATCGTATTTTTATTTCCATATTTTTCAAAATATTATCTAATTTCTTTTGAGACTTCTTCTTTGACCCATGATGATTTAGAAGTGTGTTGTTTAATTTCCAAGGAGATTCCCCTGTTATCTTTCCATTTTTGGTAGCTAGTCTAAGTTCATTATACTTGGAGAACATGCTTATAGCCAAATACAATGCCACTTCCAAAAATACATTTTTGTGTCTATTTCATGAGCATTTCTTGCCCACGATGATAACTAAAAATCTTTTGGTTGGTAATAGAAATGATAATAGTAAACGACATAGTAAATAGTAAATATCAGCTGAACACAGTCTAATCGTTTTTTCTTTTGGCAGGTGATTTGACTGACAACTTGGGTAATTTGAAGAACCTTATGAAACTCATACTGTATAACATTAATATGAATGAGAAAGATGCTATAAAACTGGGTCAGATTTGTGTTTTCTCTAATATTTTTATTAATGGAAGTTTGATAATAAGAATAGTTAGCTTAAGACTAACACTGGTTATGTCTGCACAAGGCAAGGATGTTTTTATGTACTTGTGTCTACTTTGCTTTCCCAAGACATTTTCTCCACTCCCGTTACAATCCTTCAGAACCATTTCATTCAAGTTGTGCACTACCGGGCTATAATCCTTTGGGAAGCAGAGGTATGACATGCCTATATGTTTTTAACTTCCCTCTCCCTGGTTGATTGGCTGTTTGTATTTAAAACACAGAAACAATGTAAAAAAGTTTATACTGTGGTTTCATAGTTAAGTAAAACTTCGTAAGTGAAATGAGATGCAAGAAAGAATGTGGATTAAGACAACTTCAGGAACACAAGCAGAACACAGGACCTTGGACAGGGAGAATTCCTGCAGAAGCTGCTTTCCTCCAATGTCCTTGCCTTTTTCCCCTCTTTTTTTCCCCCCCTGTTTGAACCCTCAGTAAAATTCTCCAATGCTTCTCTTTTCTGTCAGCCTTGTTCTTTTTCATTTCGCTTCCTGCCAAAAAATGACCGTATCCTATAGTCAAAACATGGATGACCTCTTTTTCCTTATAGAACCTACATGAGAATAATCAAATTAATTCAGTGCTCAGTAAACACTTATTGCATGCATATGAATTACACATAATATCAGAGCTGGAAGGGGCCTGAGAGCATCTAGTTCAACTCAATCATTTTATAGAAAATTCCCCTGAAACCTAGAATGGTTTATTGACTTGCTCAAGGTCTTACCAGTTGGTAGAAAGGGGTGAAAAAGTATCTCTCTGGGACAGTCTGGTTCTGCTATTAAGGAATCAAAATGCAAACTTGAATAAACGAGTCTAATTATATTAGCAATAATTTACTATATACTAAAGAATTACTGTGCAATAAGTTAGACATTATAGTATGCACTTTTACATACGTCGCCTCACTGAATTCTCAGAACAGTCCTAGCACATAGGTATAATGATCCCTAAAGCCAAGCTAAAAGGTTGAATAACTTGCCCAAGTTTACACAATTACTAAGCAAGGGAACCAGAATCAGACTGACTACAAAGCTCATGCTCACTATCTCTGCTATATGTACTTCCATGACAACAATTGACATTTATTAAGCACTTACCATGTACCAGGCTTCATACTAAATACATGACATACATTATCTGCAACCTTCCCAAAGCCTTGCAAGGTTGGTCCCATTAAAACCATATATTTCTTTCTTGAAGGCTAGAGATCAATGTAAGGAAATATATATATATATATATATACTTTTTTTTTTTAGACAGAGTCTCACTTTGTTGCCCAGGCTAGAGTGAGTGCCATGGTATCAACCTAGCTCACAGCAACATCAATCTCCTGGGCTTAAGCGATCCTACTGCCTCAGCCTCCCGAGTAGCTGGGACTACAGGCATGCACCACCATGCCCGGCTAATTTATTTTTGTATATATATTTTTAATTGGCCAATTAACTTCTTTCTGTTTTTAGTAGAGATGGGGTCTCACTCAGGCTGGTTTCGAACTCCTGTCCTCGAGCAATCCGTCTGCCTCGGCCTCCCAGAGTGCTAGGATTACAGGCATGAGCCACCACGCCTGGCAGAGGTAAGGAGATATTTTAATGGCATATAACTATGCCTAATCAATACTAAACTCCACATTAGTTTTAGACTTAAGAATGAGGGACATTTTAGAATATTTTCAATTGTACTATTGATTAAGGTAGACCTTCTTCTGATTAAACATGCTGCATTGGATGTGGTCTTCATTATAAAACATCGGGCAGGCCCCACATCATGCAGTCCCAAGCAGGACTCTCTGAGGCTGTAGACAGTTGTACTAGAAGCACTCTAAGGAACCAATGTCCTCAAGCTGCTCCTCTGAACTCAACCCCACCCCAAGATTTTTGAGGATATTGAAAGGAAAGTCCTCCCAGAAGTATTCATGCATGAAAAGAGTTATGGTAAGAGTACACACTGATGCCCATTAAAAATATTACATGTTTATTATAGTTTTTCTTATGCTACTCAGAGAATAATCTCCACATAAGGACTTTCATATGGTGCAGGAGACTGGAGAGTGAAAGTTGAAAGAAAAACAACTCTCTTTGACTCTTTGTAACTTAAGGTCTCTACAGAAAGAACTTGGGAAGGTCTCTGCACAATTGTTCTTTGCCTTCTTTTCAGTCCATTACTCCATGTTTAAATCAAATTAACTCAAATCAAATTAAATCAAATCAAAATAAAATGCATTTTCTTTTTATCTCTTTGCAGCAGAAGATCTGACAAACCTGAAGATGTGTTTATTTCATTTAACCCACTTGTCTGACATTGGGAAGGGAATGGATTACACTGTCAGGTCTCTGTCAAGTGAACCCTGCGACCTTGAAGAAATCCAATTAATCTCCTGCTGCTTGTCTGCAAATGCAGTGAAACCCTAGGTAACTGTTGCCTCCATTAACTGAATGAGAACCATGTAACAGAACATGTGACATTTTTCTACTACTGCACACTAAATCTCTCGAATGGAAATTTAACTATAAGAGAAATGAGAAGAGATAATAAAGACTTCTAGTTAATATCATGCCTGTTTTTAATGGTCTTTCTCCCTATGGGAAATTAACTGTTGATAGAAAATAGTAGAGGATTTCAGAATAATTGAAGATGTTATAACTTTAAGACAAGGTGGAGAGGAAGAAAATAAGAAATGGGTGCTTGCAATTTGCCATATGTCCTGTCATATAATTACTGCCTAATAAATATTTGAATGAATGGATGAATAAATGATTGAGAAGCAGAGAGAAGATTTTCTTAAATGATCTCATGCCTCTGATTCTTACCCATTAGCCTGTTAAGATGTAGTTAACGTGCATTAGTGTAACTGTTGAGTCTTCTGAGTTCCCAAAGGATATGTATATGGAGAAACCTTTGCATATTTCTGCATAAATTGGCATGTTTAATTCAGACATATTTTAAAATTTTGATGTTAGAAAAAAGATAGTATAACTCTTTTAAAGTCAGACTATAAAACTGCTGGGAGTCTTTAAAGATCACTAAGGACACCATTTGTATATTAATATAAACTTATAGCTAGAGCAACCCATGGATGGAAAAGACTAGACAAACACTGGGAACCTTACAACAATGCGCACATTCCTTTATTTGTCTACTTGCCACTTGGGAGAGACAGCTTACAAATGAAAATAGCAAATATACGCTTTGAAAGAGAAATTCAGCGATTTTTTTTTTATTTTAGAACACACCACACCCTAGAAGATATTTCACTCTAAGAAAAGGACTCATATGTCTTGGATATAAGTCTATATTTTTAAAAAAGAGAAAAGATTAGATAAGTTTAAAAAAAGAACTCATATGATTGATTAAAATAATAGCTAATATAACAAGAGTATATACTCATGAAAAACTTGCTTTTTTTAGTACATTTTTCTAATTAGTCTTGTAAGGAAAAACTTCAGTTAGATTAAGCAAGAATGATAAATGTCTGAAGTGAAGAAAAGAACTAAGAGGTTTTTAGTTAGAGCGATGCCATTATATGATTAATGTTTGCATGCAAAATAGTTTTCTATATTTTTATCTCAACATATTTCTATCTTTGTCATTAAAATACATCTCTTGTAGATAGCATGGAGTTGGGTTTTGCTTTTTAAATTAAACCTAGTTTTGATCATCTTTGCCTTTTAATTAGAATGCTTAGTCCATTTGCATTTAATGTGATTATGGGAAGGAAGGAAGGAGGAAGGAAGGAAGGAAGGAAGGAAGGAAGGAAGGAAGGAAGGAAGGAAGGAAGGAAGGAAGGAAGGGAGGGAGTAGGGAGGGAGTAGGGAGGGAGGGAGGGAAAGTAAGCAAGAAAGAAAGGAAAGAAGAGAAAAGAAAAGAAAGGAGAGAGGGAGAGAAGGAGGGAGGGAAGAACCACAGACTATCTTTAAAATAAAGAAAAAGAAAGAAAGAATAATACAGGAGGAATAAGGTCAGGATTAAGCAAGATTACTCCTGATATGATGTTTGTTCAAAGTTTGCTTATTAGTATATATAGTTTCATTACACAATTCTGCATAATGTTTGTAAGTGCTTGAATACATTCCATAAAAATAACCAAAAAACAAGCAGATTCTCATCGCAGATTGAATAGACAACTGAGCCACAAAACATAAGGATCATTTCTTCCCCCACATCCCTTCATCTTTCCTCAATTTTGAAATGATCCAGTTTCTGAACTGCTCTCCATTTCTTCAAGTTGCCAGGCTGAACATCCTGGAGCAGCTCACTGCACTGATGCTGCCCTGGTGCTGTGGTCTGCAAGTCAGCCTGACCAGCCTGGTGGAGCAAGAAGGAGGGCCCACAGCTCATCAAGCTTGGGTTCAAACATTGGAGACTCGCAGATGCAGAGATTAGAATTTTAGGTAGGTGCACACACACACACACACACACACACACACACACACACACACGGAGAACCAAGAGAAAAGAGGTTGGCCCTAGGAAACTTCTAAAGTTGGTTTATTTATTCTGCCTCCTCTTTTAAATATGTTTAAAGATCCTTCACACATATTAAGGAGTAAGATGATTTAAACACTGGCCTTCTTTCAAGTTTTTAACAATTTTACCTATAAAATTAAAGGAAAAGTATTCACAGTATCTGACAAGGTGTGTTATACTAGCAATGGCTCTTCCCAGCCTCTGTCTGAAATTCAGCAATGTCCCTCCAATCTCAGGAAATATTTTCAAGTCAATTATTGGGTATTCAGACCATGTAAAGGTAAGTGCAGGTGTATTTGAATGGAACCACAAACTATCTTTAAGTAGCTGTGATATAGTCCAGAAACAAATAGATCTGTATAAATAACCAAAGACACCACCAACCTCATGCAGTTGATGAAAGGTCCTAGTGTTATCTGTATTAGTTAGCAATTTCTGGGTAACAAATTACCTCCAAATGTAATGGCTTAAAATAATAGCCATTATCCACAGTTTCTATGGGTCAAGAATCTGGGAGTAGTTTAGGAGAGTGGTTCTGGCGTAGGTTCTCTCAGGCTGGATGTTTGCAGGGATTGTGGGAGGATCTGCTTCCAAGATAACTCCTCGAGTGGGTGGCAGGTTAACACTAGCTGTTGGCTGGAGGCCTCAGTTCCTCATCACTAGACCTCTCCATAGGCTGAGTGTCCTCACAACATGGCAGCTCACTTCTCCCAGAGCAAGGGATTCAGAAAAAAAGCATTTGAAAGTAGCAATGTCTTTTATGATCTAGTCTTGGAAGGTCATTTCTACCACATCCTACCGGTTATACAGGTCAAACTTATCCATTATGGAAGTGGACAATATGGGAACATGAATACAAAGAGGTCAGGATCATTGGGGTCATTTTAGAGAATATTACACAATTCTTAGCAAAGTATTGATGAAAACAGGCCGGTTGCGGTGGCTCACGCCTGTAATCCTAGCACTCTGGGAGGCCGAGGTCAGAGGATCGCTCAAGGTCAGTTCAAAACCAGCCTGAGCAAGAGTGAAACCCTATCTCTACTAAAAAATGAAAGAAATTAATTGGCCGACTAAACATATATAGAAAAAAATTAGCCGGACATGGTGGTGCATGCCTGTAGTCCAGCTACTTGGGAGGCTGAGGCAGAAGGATTGCCTGAGCCCAGGAGTTTGAGGTTGCTGTGATCTAGGCTGATGCCATGGCACTCCAGCCAGGGCAACAGAGTGAGACTCTGTCTCAAAAAAAAAAAAAAAAAAGTATTGATGAAAACAGCCTCAACTGCCTTCATTCCCCTTAGAGATGGTCTAGAATGTGTTTAGCTTATATAAAATAAAATTTACACTATTTTTAATTGTAAAAGTTTTGTGGCATTATATTGTTGTGCAACCATCACCATCATCCATCTCCAGAACTTTTTCATCCTCTCCAACTGAAATTCTGTACCCATTAAACATTAACTCCAATAGGCTCCTCTATTTAAAACCTTCTCTGCTACAGGTGCTCACCTCTGTAAGTGCTTAGACTTCCCAAGGGTTTTGCCTACCCTAATGGTGCTTCAAGTTCTGGATCTTTCCTTCCCTTAATTCCTAACTCCACTTCTGTCTCCCCTACCCACTCCCTTGAACCATTAACTCACATCATCCTAGGTGTCACTTTTTCAGGCCTTCCTCTATTCTAGGTGATATTAGAGGCAGGTGGCTTCTGTGACAGACTAATTAGCTAGCTGACAAATAATCCCTTGAAGGTAACCTCATACCTTATGTGAGTTGGAAAGGATATGTCTTTTCAAGGAGGCCCTTGGAGAGTGTCCAGATTTAGAATTCATGTGGAAGAGGCATTCTTTAGGTTGGAGTCTTTTAGCATCTTTCAAATCTTTAAGTAAGTAGCTGCCTACTTTGCCCACTCTTGAGGCTGCCCACGGAAACCAGAGGAGGAGATGACATGTTTGATGAAATAAGAACTGAGCTAGACTTTAATTTGCTAGTGCCGTATAGTCTCCATTTGTAAATAAGAAAAATAAATATATGAGAAGGCAGTTGAATCCTGGAAATTTAGTTGTAATGATGTACCCTAACATGCAAGTTAAAAAATGAGTGAAAACTAACAACTCAATAGTAGCAACTAATTTACTCACAAAGATTTTTTAAAAAGTAATTTGTAGAATTATCATTTTATCCCTATAGAAGATAACCATTATCCCTATTTTATAAGGATGCTTAGACATAAGGAGGTTGTCAGACTAAAGCAGGAAAAGGGTTGGAGACGGAAAGAAAGTGTGGTGCTACCCTCCAGACACTTCCTCCACCACCCAGAAGTGTAAAAGAAGTCAGCTAGGGCTACAGGCAAAAGCCAAACGGTGAGAGCCAAGTGTCCCCTGGCTTTGGTCTCTAGCCAGGTGCTGAGACTGCCATCTGTCAAGCCTGCCTGGTTGGCTCTATGTTTATGAAGTAGTTAGTTAGGTGCATTGCTTTTGGAATCAGATGAACCTGCTCACCCCTTTCACTGGATAGATTTGGGGCCTGCAGCAACTTAGTTAAACTCTCTGAGCCTCAATTTGCTCATCTAATGAGGGTAATTATAATACCTGCCATAAATAGGAAGTAAATTCATTCCATTTATCTATGAAGAGTAATTTAATTATTGCTAGCTCCTAAATCCAGACTCAGCTCTGGGCCTTTCTTTGCATATCCAAAGACTCAATAATGTGCTCAATAATAATGGGCCTCTGTTCTAGTTCTTACCCATTCCCCTTCTACCACTGAGCTCTACAAACAGCAGGGAGAAGAACAGATTTATTTCTCCATTATATGAATTATAGCATTCTTCTGGTAGAAGCAGCCAGGGTCAGGGTTTGTCTTGTTTTTGTTGAGCTTAAAGAATTCACCCTCCCCAAACTTCCATACAAACATCCTATAAAACCCACTGCTCTCCCCTTCCTTTTGGTGTATGAGGCACTTAGGCTTTGCCAGACCCAAGGGAGATAAAGGAATGAAATGCAAGAGGGGAACTTGCTTTTCTTATCCCTCCTGATAAGGACCAGCTTCCCTTATTCCTCCCAGTTGTTCCCTAGGGAGATAAAGGAATGGAATGCAAGAGGGAAACTTACTTTTCTCAACCCTCCCAGTTGTTTGAAAATAATTTATTTACTCCCCCTGGAAAAACCTCTATAAAACCCAAAGCTCTCCCCTTTTCTCTCACGGATACCTTTTTTGGCTTCCACCCATGTGCACCGAGATGCTCAAAATAAACAGCATTTGGCTACACATGAGTTTCATGTGTCTCTCTTTCTGCTCCAGACCTAACAGTTTTATACTTTTTAATTAAACTATAATATACATAAAAGTACACAAATCAAAAGTAAATAGTATGATGAATTTTCTCAAGGTGAAAATAACCACTATCCTGACTTCTAACACTGTACAGTAGTCTTTGCTATTTTTTTAATTTTATACAAATAGAAGTATACAGTAGGTATTCATATGTAGCTGCCTCTTTTGCTCAACATCATATATGTGAGAGTCATCCATATTATATGTAGTTGTTTTTCATTTCATTTGCATTGCTGTAAAATCTTCTGTGTGAATATACCACAACTCGTTTTCTCATTCTACTGTTGATGGACATTTGAGTAATTTCTAGTTTTTGAATAGCATGGATAGGGTTGCTATGAGCATATGGACACATTTCTGTTGAGTATGTATCTAAGAGTGGAATTTGGATCATAGGTAGGCATATGTTCAGCTTTAGTAGATACGCCAGTTTTCCAGTGTCCTTGTGTCCAACACAGGTTTGAAAAAACAATGGATTTCTTTATCATGAAGACAACGCTGTGTTTTTATCACAGCATGTACAATATGAATTTAGCAAATGTATTCATATGTGGATGTGCCTCACTAAACTGTGACCTCTTTGAGGACAGAGCCTATGCCATTAGACTTAGTATTGAATGTATATCCCACAGTGAATGCTCTATAAATATTTGTTGTATGTATGAGCAAATGAACTTACAGGAGTTCCACAATTTGCCATGAGGTTTAAGGTCAGGTAATGTGGGTTCTTTGAACCTCAAGCTTTGTTATAGTAAATGCTATCTTCTTACATAATCATTCCCCAAAATCTAAAACACATTTGTATGATTTCACAGCCTCCTTACAATATCCAAACCAACCAACTGTTCAAACGGAAAGCCTCCATCTTAAGTATTCTGGCTCTGGTCCACAATACCTCCCCTGGATCGGACCTGGCTTAGGGATCCCCATCCACATTTAGTGATGGTCTCAGCACGATGCATGAGACACAATATGCTTTGAGATGAGATAATATAATGCAAACTGGTAATAAGATATGGGGAGTCTAATGAAATAAAGGCTACATAAGAAGGTGTAGGTAAGAAGCATGTCTTGGGGTGGGCAGTATATAATGAGATACAGGGTAGACAAGATGCATGGAAGACATAGTGGGTATTTTGAGAAAAGAATCTTTTCATCAAAGGTTTTAGATGTCTCCTGGTCGTAATTGACACCTAGCTCTCCCCTGCAACCCACATAAGTAGTCCCTTTTTTAAAAAATGGTGGCAGAGTCTCACTCTGTCATCCCCAGGTAGAGTGCAGTGGAGTCATCATAGCTCATGGCAGCCTCAAACTCCTGGGCTCAAGGGATCCTCCTGCCTCAGCCTCCTGAATAGCTGGGACTACAGGTGCATGCCATGACACCTGGCTAATTTTTCTATTTTTAATAGAGACAGAGTCTGGTCTTGAACTCTTGACCTCAAGCGATCCTCCAGCCTCAGCCTCCCAGAGTGCTAGGATTACAGGCATGAGCCACCACACCTGGCCAAGTAGTCACTTTTCATTCTGCTGATTTTCCTGCCTCTTACAGTGCAAAGGCAAATTCAACTTCCCCTTGATTCTCACTGCCCTTCCA